ACTTAAAAGAATGACTGACAGACAAACTATAGTTCTCAGAATGAATGAAGCAAGCCTGTCTCTTCAAGAGAAACACTGGTAATGTTCGTTGCCAATGATAAAATTGGCAATGGATCAAGTGAAAATTCATTTTTGGAAAACTTGTATCTAGTACTGTGAGCTTGACAGCTTCCCAATATTTGATGACTGTTCTGATAAAATTGGTGATGTTAACTAATGTGATCCTTATACTGTATAATGAAATGTGTCAACATTTGGAAGATCTACATAAAACAGTGAACTAGTATTTTCCAAATGACCAATTTATGATGTTACAAAATTATGCATAGGAGAAAGATCTATTCAGTGTGTAAGATACACCAATGAATTTTAATGTAACAGTATGAAAAATTCACTGAAATAGTTTCAGATTGCACACTGAAACTATTTTTTAAAACTTTATCGTTTGTCAAGATCTGGTATAGCATCAAAGAAAAATACCCACCATTATATAAAAAGACTATCAAAGTACTCCTTTCTTTTCCAACTACATTTCTGTGAAGACTAGATTTTCTTCATTTACTTCAACTGAAACAGCATATTCCAAAATTGAATGCAGAAGCAAATATAAAACCTAGATTTTTTTTCTCCTAAGGCAGACATTTACAAAATTTTAAAAATGTAAAACAGTGTTTCTTCCTTACTATTTTCTTTGTTTTTGAGAAAGAGATTTTTCATAAAAATATGTATTTTAACATATAATGGTATTATTGTCAGTGATTCAATAAATAAATATTTGCAAATTTGTCAGTTTTAATTTCTAATATGATGAATATTGACTGATATAACCCACATAAACAAAAGCTCTTTGGGGTCCTCAAAAATTTTGAAGAAAAAGAACCAGTGAGATGGACTATCATAGCAAAAAAACATGTGCTGAAGAGGCCTTATTACTAATACAGTTCTTATCTATATTCTTTTTAGTTTTGGGGAGGGCCCAAAATTTCAGAAAATTTTGGCCATTTCTACATAGCAACAAAGGAACAGATTGGTTAATTTTTATAAATATGCCACACAGATTAAATATTGTTATCCAAATTATGAGATATCAGGTAGATTGCTTACTTTTTTTTTTTTAGAAGATTTTATTATTTATTTATTTGACAGACAGAGATCATAAGTAGGCAGAGAGGTAGGCAGAGAGGGAGGGGGAGAAGCAGGCTCCCTGCTGAGCAGAGAGCCTGATGTGGGGCTCAATCCCAGGACCCTGGGATCATGACCTGAGCCGAAGGCAGAGGCTTTAACCCACTGAGCCACCCAGGCGTCCTGATTGCTTGCTTTTTAACGTTATATTAGATTATCTGATTATAGCTTTTGACTGTTGATTATTGACTTCATACAGAAATACAAATGGCATAAACATATAGTTTGTAAATGTTGAAATTCTTATCATGTAGTGAGAAAGAAGAGATGGGAGTGTTTTCAACCAGGCTTGCCATCGAACATGAACATTCGCTTCTGAGAGAGGGCTTGACTGTGCAATGCACATCAACCAAAATAATGGTATTTAGTTAAGATGAAAACAAGGCCTTTGGTTGTTTCAGAAACAGCAGTTAATAAGATCAGGTTAAGGGGCACCTGGGTGGCTCAGTGGGTCAAAGCCTCTGCTTTTGGCTCAGATCATGATCCCACCCTGGGATCAAGCCCCGCATCAGGCTCTCTGCTCAGCCGAGAGCCTGCTTCCTCCTCCCTCTCTGCCTACTTGTGATCTCTATCTGTCAAATAACTAAATAAAATCTTTAAAAAAAAATTAAAAAATTAAAAAAATAAGATCAGGTTAAGTTTAATAAAGCATTTCAGTTTTGGAGAATTTTACAAAGGACTTCAGACATTCCATTTCCCCTTCCCCTACCAATGAATAGAATAATTTTTCTCTCTGAGACAATGTGAGTGTATAAATAAACCTATGCGTGATTTTAAAATGGCGGAAAGATAAGGTAGCCTTCTTCATAAAGAACATCTTACCAGACTATCCCTGTACATATTAGTTTCACTCTTTTATAAATCCATCCTCTGTAGGGCTAATGCTGTTCAATTTTACTCTTGATTACTTTCGGATTAATTCTATGTGTGAAAATCTTACCCCTGTAACCGAATTTAGTGTTTGAGGGTAAGGACTCTATATAGACATCTACAATGTCTTCCTGGTAGGTAACTCTTGGTACTTACTGTTCAGTTTAGAAGGGGAGATGCAGGAATTCATTTCCCGTCTCAAGTATCTGTTGAGAATTTGCTAAGTGTCAGGTGCTGTGTCAGGCGTTGGTGAATACGCATTTGTGCGTTTTGCTTTTACACTGAAGAAACAAATGGCAAGAATTTAAAGTGTAGGGGAAACTGAATCTTGTTGTTTTGAGGGAATTGTTTCCATGGCAGTAAAATCTTTATGAAAGAAACCATTTTTGTTGAAAATCCTCCCTTCTCTGCAAACATATCAGGGAGGCAAAGAGTTTCAGCATAGGAATTAGAGAGTTGTCCTCCTTGCTGCATAATATTGTCAGTCAGATTTTAAATAGCTCTGAAAGCAGAATTGATTTTGATTCACGTCTGAACTGATGTTTTGCGCTCTCAGCCGGTCGTCTCAGAGGTACCGGTTTTCCCATGAAGAGGTTTTCTCTTCTTGCCTTTGTTGTTGGCAGGTCCCTGACCACGCTTTTATCAGTCCTAGGCAGTTACACCAGGGAGCTCAATGAGGGAGGTGCATTGGAGCTCATGAATAGATATCTTAGAAAGCCAATCTCTCCATCAGCCTTACTGAGTTTAAAAACATTGCTTCTCTGGGTATAAAATGTTTACGTGTACTTAATACTGACTAACCGTGCTAATGTGCTATAGTAGTGACATTCCTTGGCTCTGAGTTTGGTTGCATAATCTGATAAATTTAAATAATTTATGTAATGAAATTGCTTAGTTAAAAGAAGTTCATGGGGCTGCACCTGGGTGGCTCAGTGGGTTAAAGCCTCTGCCTTCGGCTCAGGTCATGATCCCAGGGTCCTGGGATCCAGCCCTGCATCAGGCTCTCTGCTCAGCAGGGAGCCTGCTTCCTCCTCTCACTCTGCCTGCCTCTCTGCCTACTTGTGATCTCTGTCAAATAAATAAATAAAATCTTTAAAAAAATAAATAAATAAAAATAAAAAGAAGTTCACGGGGACATCTGGGTGGCTCAGTTGCTTAAGCAGCTGCTTTCGGCTCAGGTCCTGATCCTGGAGTTCTGGGATCCAGTCCCGCGTAGGGCTCCCTGCTCAGTGGGGCATCTGCTTCTCCCTCTGACTTCTCCCCTCTCATGTACTCTCTCTTTTTCTCTCTTTCTCAAATAAGTAAATAAAAATAAAATCCTAAAAAAAAAAAAAAAAAAGTTCGTCATGTGACGTGGTGGGCAGAGTACGGGCTCTGCTGGCAGACTTCCCGACTCTTGACACTTCCTAGCTATGGCCCCTTGAACGAGGTGACTCTCCTTGCTCAGAGCTCCTTGCCTATGAAACGGGAAGGAATAGCGTCCTTGGGGGCATGAGCTCAAATGATGGTTGTAGAATGTCAGCTCCTATACGTGTTGACTGATGTTTTTATTTCTTCTAATTCGGTCATATTTTAAGGTTCCAATAATGAATCATAGTAGAACTATCTTCTTCACGATCCCCCGACCCACCCACAGCTTCAGTTTCTAGGCTGACGATGTTCTGTTGCTGGAGTCCTAAGAATTTTGTAATTAACATGTTTTTGTGCTGGTGTTATCTGCAGTTGTGAGAGACATATTTCAAGTAAGTTTCAGGTTTTGAGTATCCATACCTGCTTAATTATCTCCCTATATATGCTGCCATTGGCAACCGCCAAGGCACGCCTGTTGTTAATTAATCACTTCCACTGAGAACTTAATTAGTGTCTTCATGAGGATCATCATTGAGTAGCAGGCAGCATGGTCCTAAGCCAGCTGCACGTTCTTGGCCAGCTCCAGCAGCCCTTCTGGTTCTATGAAAGCTCGGATCGATGAGGAGGCCTATTGTGCTTTTTTTTTTTTTTTTTAAGATTTTATTTATTTATTTGACAGACAGAGATCACAAGTAGGCAGAGAAGCAGGCAGAGAGAGAGAGGAAGGGAAGCAGGCTCCCTGCTGAGCAGAGAGCCCGATGTGGGGCTCGATCCCAGGACACTGGGATCATGACCTGAGCCAAAGGCAGAGGCTTTAACCCACTGAGCCACCCAGGCGCTCCCCTATTGTGCTTTTATTTGTTTTTATTTTTTGTCCCCCTTGAAGAAAGCTGTGGGAGATCTGATGGTGATGCCCCATGTTCTGTGACATGTGCAAAAATAAGGCAACAGATCCACTTACAACGCACAGATCAGAAAACCCAGATTGGTTATTGAATTCTTGTCATGGTGCTAAACAAGCTGGAAACAAGTTGTTTGCGGGATCGAACATCAGACCGTGAATTCAGCCTATGACAGAGCACTTCATTTTTCTGCTGAAAGTTAAAGTCCTTTCCTTATGGCATCACTGTTTTATATATATATATATATATATATATATCTATATATATATATATTTATATATTGCCACAGAGTTACAGGATGAATTCAGCACTTCATTTCCTTTCTTTCCATTCCTCGGGAAAATGTGGGAAAATGAGGCAAAGGTAGCATCTTGCCTTATTTTCCTACAGAGGTAGAAATTGGGTTGGGGGTGAGAGGTGTGATCAAGTCAGTCCCTAAACAATCCGTCTCCCAAACCTTTGGATCGAATGTGACCTTGAGACAGTAAGGTAAAAATAAATGCACAAATGGCTTCTATTTTATGGAAAAGGGAATCTCTTGGGTAAATCCCCAAATGAGGACAGGCATTGTCTCAAACGAACCTACTTTATTTGAGCATTTTTACTTCATTCTTTTGACTATTGTAGGCTTTTAGGTGATTTAGGTCAATTGTGAACTTGATGAAAGCATCAAGTGAAATATTTTGTATCCAACAGATTTGCTGCTGCTTCCAGGAGAAGTGGAGGAGGACGTCTGCCCACGTGTCCCTTCTTACATTCCTTCTGCGGCCCAGCCCTTCACCCCTGGGGTAAAGCCAGGGCCTGCTGGGAGAGGAGCTGACAAGCAAACAGAAGAGGTACTCCATAGGGAGTTCAATCAGTTTTGAAATTGCCTTGATTTTGTAACTTGTCCTTTCAGTGAAATGCTGCCATATCTTTGTGCTTTTTTATTTTTCTTAGATTTGGAAAAATTTAGAATTCATGTTGCTTAATCTAGTCCCTCTGACTGCCATCTATCTCTAATGTGCAGATTTCTTTTCTTTAAGATTTTATTTATTTATTTGACAGAGAGAGAGATCACAAGTAGGCCAAGAGGCAGGCAGAGAGAGAGGGGGAAGCAGGCTCCCCGCCGAGCAGAGAGCCCAATGCGGGGCTTGCTCCCAGGACCCTGAGATCATGACCTGAGCCAAAGGCAGAGGCTTACCCCACTGAGCCACCCAGGCACCCCTGCAGATTTCTTTTAAACATGGAGAGCAGTTATGTCTTCTTTACGTGGAAACTATTTTTGTTTCATGATGTAGGCCATGCTGCAGGACATGTTATCTGGGGACTATGCAATAGATTCTCTCTTTTTGTTTGGACTGGCCATTTGCTTTTTACTCTTGTTTCCAAGGTCCTATAAACATCTTTTTTTTTTTTTTTTAAGATTTTTATTTATTTATTTATTTGTTAGAGAGAGAGAGACCATGAGCACGGGCAGACAGAGTGGTAGGCAGAGGCAGAGGGAGAAGCAGGCTCCCCGCTGAGCAAGGAGCCCGATGTGGGACTCGATCCCAGGACGCTGGGATCATGACCTGAGCCGAAGGCAGCTGCTTAACCAACTGAGCCACCCAGGTGTCCCCTATAAACATCTTTTATTGGTTAAGGTAAGGCCAAGCTGTTGCTGTAGAGAATCCCAACAGTAAGTCAGTGGCCAAAAGGAGATAGAACTTTATTTCCCTCATATAACAGTCTATGGAAAACTTCTTTTTTATTTTTTTAAGATTTTATTTATTTATTTGAGAGAGAGAGAGAGAGAGCACACATAAGCAGGGAGTGGGGGAGGGGCAGAGGGAGAGGGAGAAGCAGACTCCCCACTGAGTGGGAGCCCAACATGGGGCTCAATCCTGGGACCCTGAGATCATGACTTGAACCAAAATCAGATTCTTAACTGACTGAGCCATCCACTCACCCTATGGAAAGCCTTTAAAGTGAGTGTTTTCTCTGTTCCCTGGGGTCACCAGGGGCCCAGATTCCTTCTCTCTGGATCTCCGCTGTGCCTTAGGACATTGTCCTCCTATGAATGTTCCAGCTCAGGTCACCGTCCTACTATAGGGGCAGCAGGGAAGTGTGTGGGAGCTGCACGTTTCCCCAAGGCTTAGGACTCAGGACTTCATTTCTGCTCACATTCCACTGGCAACCACTTCGTCATATGTTCCTGTCCAGCCACCGGGGGCACTGGGAAGTGTCATCTAGCCAAGCGCTTCACAGTCAGGGGGCACGGAGTCTCTGCCATGCTTTTCCTGTCCCACTGGCACACCTAGAAAGTCATCATTTGTCATTGTTTGCAGCTCTTCTGCATATACTTTTAGAAACACGCACTAACCAAGGCTGCTGGTGGTGTTGGGTGTGACCTTGATCACCATGTTTACTTCCAACAGAAGAATGTATCAGGCACAAGAAGTTGTGAAGGGCTCTTTATTATTGCTTCCTAATAAAACTCCTAGGGATTGCCTGTTTGATCATTCAGGTACTACAGATCTTATCACTTAAAGATATTCTGTTACCGGGGGAGGGGGGCGGGGGGGGGTGGCTCGGTCATTAAGCGTCTGCCTTCGGCTCAGGTCATGATCCTAGTGTCCTGGAGTGGAGCCCCATATCAGCGGGGAGCCTGCTTTTCCCTCTCCAGTTCCCCAGTGCTTGTGTGCTTGTGTTTCCTCTCTCCCTATTTCTCTCTGTCATAAATAAATAAAATCTTTAAAAGAAAAAAAAAAGACATTCTGTTATGGAAGCAGTCGTTCAGTCAAAGGTAATCCATATGTTCCCATTTTAAATTGCCTCTTTGTCATAGAATTTTTGTTTACAGACATCACAGAAGTGTGTCTAGGAGGCTTGAAAGACTTGTATTAAACCCCTGAATTGGTTACCAGATAAACTGGTAAGGGGGACAGCCACTCTTCAATGTGCTTTTTGAATTACAGATTGATTGCTTTCTCCAAGTAGTAAGAAACTAAAATTGCAGTGTTATTTCTAGCAGGAATCAGTTTCTTTTAAAGACTTGTTCATGCTCTTGACTTCAGTTGTGACCATACAAATTGCTGGGCCAGCCAGTGGTCATGGCACCTAGTGCCATTATAGGAATTGTTATAAAATCGTTTCCATTGGTGGGTTAAAAAAAACCGAATGATTCCTAGAATCCATCAAGTAGCCAGTAAAAAATGCAGGTTAAAACCTTGGATATGATTGTATCTTAAAAAGGAATATCAATTTCTTCCCAGAAAATGTGAACATTTTTAAAATGTTGGAATCAAAATGTTATGAACAAATTTTGTGTTGGCAAACTTAGAAAACATAGATGGAGAACTTTTGCTGTTTTTCAAATACCTAGAATATCTTGGCTGGGATTTTTATTTCTGACCACGATTTGTTAGAGAAACTTTTCAGAATTGCCTAGAATCCTAATACTTTACCAACTATGCCTTGGTTAATCTTATTTTAAAGCACTCACTGCCAGTAAAACATCATAATAATCAATTTCTAGCAAATATATCCTGTAAGGACCAACCAAGGGGCAATTTGGGGCTAAATATGCTAACTTCTTTCTGTGATATCAGTCTCAAAGATGAAAATGAATCCTGGATGTCTTGACCTCCTCTAAGAAGAGGCTGTGACTTCCTGATACAGATTAGACCAATTTAATTTTTTTCCTAATTTTGTCACTGGGGTTTTATATATGTGCATCTCCCCCTTAGAGTCAGACATTTGCCAAGGACCTTCCATCTTTCCGTTTGTGAATAACTTGTTGCCTTAGTAATTCTGTCTCAATGAATTTAGTAACAGCTTTATAGAGCAAATAGAAACATTGGGAAGATGAAAAATTGTGTGTCCCTCCTCCACCCTTTTCCCCCAACCCCAAAACATAGAAGAAACTTTTGTGGTATTTCAATGGGAGATCTCCTATTTTTCCAGTTCGTAATGGGACTCTAAAATTTTTCACCTATAAAGATGGTTTATTCACTATATTACTTTGTAAGATTGCCTACAGCTAAATGTTGCTCTTATTGATTTGAGCATTAGTTCTGTTTTCTCTAATTTGCCTGTGTGATACTATGAATGAAAATGATTTCTCTGGTAACAGGGTCTCTCTTTGAATGAGTCACAAGAGCAATTTTAAGGAAACTAGCCGTTTTCTAACAGTGTGCAAATTCTATTCCCTGAGAGGCTACGAAAAGATTTCAATTAGATTTGAAATGAGACCCCTCAAATCCACATATTTCTCTCAGCTCCTTAGGCAAAAATAACAAGTTAATAACTTAATTCACAGTCGTTTTCTTTTTAGTAGCAGGGGATTTGGTTTTCCATTGCATAAATTCTCCTCTTTGAAATAAATGAGAATTTCAGTTTGTAATCCCAAAGCCTTAGAGTCGTACAGCTTAGAACCCTGAAACGAACCTAACCCAAAGGAAGAGAATTCCCAGCGTGGGCCTCAGTAGTCAAGAGCCGAAATACATAAGTAGAATTGCAACTTGACTGCATTTTAAAAGCTGCCATTTCGAAGATCACAGTGATGTCTTCTGAATTGCAGTGTACATCTGCTTTGGATTACATATGTGGCCCTTGTTTTGGAGGACTCTGAATTCACTGATGTGTGGCTTCATAAGCTTAATTAAAAAGCAAAAAAAGTAGGAAGTAGTGCCAAGTTCAGTGCTACTTGCATATGGTAGACATGCAATAAATATTGAATGAACAAATAAATAAAAGAAAAACCTCATTACCCACTGAGAGTGTTTTTCTGATAGAACAAGACGGTCAGGGCCATTCTCTCTCTCCTCTATTGCTTCATTCTTCTCACCATGTAAACATGTTCAAGTCTCTCCCATCCTTAATGAAATGAAGCAAAACAAAAGGAAAGGGAAAATAGCCTTCTCTACCTCAGGCCCTTTTGGACTACTGTCTGTTCTTCTCCCTCTGTTCTCGTCTAGACTTCAGTAACTATGAGACTTGACCCTACTAGTTGACTCTGCTTCTTTCCCCCTCATTCCTCATTCAGTGTCCTGCAGAATGTCCTTGGCTCTAGTCACCTGCCTGGATGTATTCAGAATAAAGGTACCACTTACTCTGTAACTGCCAGATCTCAGCGGACATTTTCCAGTCCTTTTTTTTTTTTTTTTTAAATAGAGAGAGTGAAGTGGGGGGCAGAGGGAGAGGGAAAAAATAGGGCTCCATGCTCAGCACAGAGCCCTATATGGGGCTCGATCTTACACCCCTAAGATCATGACCTGAACTGAAATCAAGAGTCAGTTGCTGGGGCACCTGGGTGGCTCAGTGGGTTAAAGCCTCTGCCTTCGGCTCAGGTCATGATCCCAGGGTCCTGGGATCGAGCCCCACATCAGGCTCTCTGCTCAGCAGGAAGCCTGCTTCATCCTCTCTCTCTCTGCCTGCCTCTCTGCCTACTTGTGATCTCTGTCTGTCCAATGAATAAATTAAAAAAAAAAAAAAAAAGAGTCAGTTGCTTAGCCGACTGAGCCACCTAGGCGCCCATCCAGCCTTTATTTTAATGGATCGCTCTACTGTGCCTGACCCTCGTGGTCCTCTGGTTCTCACTTTACTGCTCTCCCCAGATTCTTTGTACATTTCTCTCTTTGTTCTTTCCCTGCCTCCTTTGGGGGCTTCCCTCCATCCATCCCTGAGTTGGTACTGCTCAGGGTTCCGTGGTAAACCTCTTTCCATTTAACATACTTGGATCCATTTTCATCTCTAGGTTTTACCTTTCCTGCTTCTGTCCCCAAATCTGCATCTCTAGCTTCAGACCTTTCTCGGAGCTTCAGGTTCCGGTTTTCAGTGGCCTGTTGTTATCTCTATCTAGATTCCTTTGGGTGCCTTCAAATCAACATGTCCAAAGCCAAGCTTGTCTTTCTTTGCCTGCTTCACTTCATGCATTCTTGCCTTTCCAAATCCAAATCAGTCCTCAAGTGGTGCCAGTTTTGCTTTCTTATATTTTCATATCTCTGCTGTCAGCTTCCTGTACTCGTTATCTCTTGCCTGGACTGCTCTATCAGGCTCCTAACTAGTCTCCCTGACTTCAAATCTACCTTCTTTTTACTCTTCAAAGTAACCCATCTGGATGTAATCTCCATGAGGGTAGGGCGTCTTTCTGGTTTTCACAAAGCGGTCCGTCCAGCGCTTGCTTCATTGTAGGTGCTCGGTTAAAATTTGAAGGAATGAAGGAATTTACCTGAAATGCCTAGATGACCAACTATCTACCTTCCTTTCAAGAAATCCTTTAATGACTTCATCATCTCTAGGATAAATAGCATCTAAGACTGTCATGATCTGGCACCAATCTGTCTCCTGCTTCTCTCTCCCTTAACACTTACCTACTTGCAGATCCTTACATGTGAAACTTGGCATCTTATTTCCTTGTCCTGCTCACTAGAACTCCCTTTATCTGCAAAGTTCTTCCCTCCACCTTGTTAACTAATATCCTTAAGATTCTGCTTGGATATCAACTCTCCCAGGAAGCCGTCTCTGATTCCTTCCCAGTACCTTACAGTCCGAGTGGGTTTAGGTGTCTCTTCTCTGTTCCCATCACCCCCAACATACTATTTGTACTTACTCCGTTTTACTCTACTGACTTGTTAAATGTCTATCTCCTTTCTCTTCGATGTCATACAAGACTTCATCTTTGTATCCTCAGTGCCTATCGCAGTGCCTAGAATTTCATAGGAGCATAGAGTTTGTGGAAAGAATGGAAAGTCACTGACTGACTGCAGGAGGGCGCCCTTCTGACACTGTGAATCAGGGACGTACTGGCCACATTACAGGGCTACCCTCAAATGGTTTGAAATGTCATGAGTATCATCACATTTGGCATTGCAAATATGAAATTACTGCTATTTTTGGTTTCTTGCTTTTGTAGTTCAGCACTGAACTGATTACCTAGGGAGTTAATTTAATAATAGCTGCCATTATAACTCTGTTTCCAAGTGAAGAAATTTATATTTTTAGGTGTATTTTTGTAACTCTAAATGTATTATAAATGAGTAACTCTTGTGTTGCCATCAGATTTATTGACCAGCTAAAAACTTTATTCCTTGCTATTGTTTTGGTTAATACTGAATGACCAATGAAGGGAATCATACTCCTTAACAGAAAAAATTTGAGTGTATTTAAAAAAAAAACTTAAAGGGAAATAAGATTTTTCTACTTAAGGATAAACTTCTACATCTCTAGTACCACAGTGTTGGATATTATAGCTGCAAGTTATGTTGGGACCTCAGACAAGGCAGAGGAATAAGGGTGTGATGGATTGGGCCATTTGTAGAGCTAAGTTGGCCATGGGAGTGAGCCCTTAGCAGAGAGTCTAGAATTACGGCACACAAGCTGTTCTCTCTCTGGGTTGCTAATACGAGGTGGGTCATGAGTGGGGTGTTGAGTGAGGAGGCAAGTAGGATTTTCTGGAGAGTAGCGATGCTCAGCTGAGGGTAAGGTAAGCCGCGGCACTTCCCCTGTGTGCTTTTGCAACCCCTTTTTGCATTTCTCTGTTGGAGAGCATGGCACACGATGTAGAAATTGTTCATTTACTCTGTCTTCTCCCTGAAGGGAGGATACCTGGTGAACACAGATTTTGCTATTTTCATCCTGTGTTCCCTGTATCTAACACATATTAAACACTCAATACATGTTTATGGAGTGAACAAGTAAAGGGGAGGGAGGTGGGAATGTGAGGGTTGTTTGTGTTGTATAGAGAGAATGTGAGGAGGATGGTCTGGTATCACCGGGATTTTAGCACAGCAAAGAGATTTGTCTCCTATTAAATGCATTCCAGCCTCAGAGGGAGGTGGGTGAAAGCAAAGTGGCTGCATCTAGAGAGTGGCTGGTAATCTCTCTGATTCAAATTCCTAGTGTGATGGACCCACGTGGGTACTTGCAGCCTGAAACTTGGCCGATAAGTGGATGCCAGGCCTCGAACCAGCCATAAAAGGGCAGCAAGAATCCCATCAGGCTGGATGCGCTGGTAGAGAGGGGACTCTTTCTGGTCCTCTCCCAGGATCTGTTAGAATCGGCTCAGGGTGAGGTGTGGCCAGGCCTGCCAGCCACAGTGCTCCCTACTGAGTAGAGATGGAGACGACAAGGATGCTTACGTTCAGGAAATGAACATATTGTGTCACTGTTTATGTTTCCTCATTTGAGCTGTTCTTAGCAGTATTACCACTCTGTCACTTCCACTGTGGAGATAATTGTAATCTTAGAGAGTGACCAAAATGGACAGATCGGTCACTCTGCAGACGGATTGGCTGCCTGTGCACGCACGCTCTTTTCAAGACAGTCATGGTGTTACATGGAGCCTTGGATATGGATTTTATGATAAACTGTGGGAATGACTTAGCTTATTTGGAAAAGGTCTTTTCTCCGCAAGAGCTGTCTATGACTTGGCTTAGTGAGAAGTTCAAGGTTGATTTTTGCTGGTGTTTTTGTTGAGAGGGTAAACTTCATCTGAAACTGATTGCCCTGGGTTCCAGTCTTGCTTCTTTCCCTTACTAACGATACAGCCTCAGGCCGGTCACTTAACCTTTCAGAGCTTCAGAAGAGGGGTTGTTTGAAGATTACTGCTGATACCCACCCCGTTCCTTGTACTGGGGTGGACATGAGGTGGGAACTCGCTCAGTGGCAGATCCCATCATTGCCTTTGTCAGGAAAGCATGCAGACAGTTTCAAATACAGAGGAAATGAACAAGTCTCTGAAGTCTGTTCTCTTGCTGGTTTTACTTAGAAAGGGTGGTAGATGATTACATGTTTGCTATTAGCACTGCACACCTAACTACAAGATGCAACTTGCCAAACAGATAGGAGATACCGACTTTTCATGTCCCCCCCCCACCTTTAATAACAGCACATAGTTTCTCAGCTACATGGTCTATTTTTAAGAATGTTGCAAAATCCACTCAATGAGATAATCTTGAATGCAAGAATATTTAAAGCTGATTATAGCTTCAGGGCATTTTTTTTTCATTCTTCCATAAACCATAGTTTTCAATTATTTTAGCATCGCCATACATATCATAGAGTTACATAGAACTGCCAGATAATTTCATTGTATTACAAAGCATTTGCTTTCAGAGCGGCTCTTTAAGAGGTGAATACAATGTGATTTAAGGTATTCTCTTTTTGTTTATTGGAAAATATCTGCCTTCCTTTAGGAAGTCTTTAAACTCACAGATTATGAATAAATAGGTACAGAATTATTGTGCCGCTTTGCAGCTACTCTGACTTGTAGATAAATTCTGTAATATTTTTTAAAATTCTTGAGAGAAGAAAGAGATCTTGGAATTTTTGAGGTGATGCTGTGTGTTTTAATTCCCACTGTTATTGGCCACAGAGTTATAAGTATTATCTGAAGAAGTAAGTATGGTAAGTGTAGAGTATTTTTATCTTTGAAAATTATTGTATTGATACAAGTCTTTTTAGTAAATGGTGAAGGTGTGTTGAAGGTTGATCCAAATCTCAAGGTATATTTTCTCACATTTTAATGTAACTCTTAGTTTTTCCATATGCCTTGAGCCCTAACACTGCAAGTGGTAAAAATGTAATGAATGTGTGCAAGAGAAACTCTCTGATTCTTGCCGTGGGTGGAATTAGTTAATGATATTCATTCTGATGCAGGATGGTACAAATAGGGCATATTAAGAGACTTAAATTAGGTCAAATTGAATAATTGAATTTATTCCTTTACTTAAAAACAGCTTAATCAGCAGAGAGTGCTGAAGTTCTAAAAAAAGTTGAATTAAATATTAATAGGGAGTTTATGTTTTCAGCTTTTTCCTCATTTACAGCGATCGTAGGATTTTTCTCCTTCTACCTTTTACAGATACTCGGAGATGAAGTCCAGCCCTTCTCACTTGATGAAGAATTTGATTATGACGCTGTGATGCTAACCCCCAAGTTCACTCCTGCAGAGATAGATGCGATCACAGAGCTGTCCAAGCAAGAGAGATCACCGACACAGACTTAGAGGAACCCCATGGCTGATTCACGGAGACATCTTTGTGTTCGTGTTTATTTTGTTGTTATACAAGCAACATTAGAATAAAAGGTAAACCTACTATGATTCCCTTTGTCGAAATTTTCTTGTGCATGAATTGATCAGTTTTTGTCAAGAGGGAGCTACGACTAACAAGACCAAGGAGATCTGTACACTTACAGGATTCTCCTCTGTCATGTGTTGCTTAATCCCATGGCAGGCGAGGGGAGATAGAGGTGGCCAATAGGGACAGGAAGCAATACCCACAGAAGGGTCCATTTTTTTAAATTAATTTTTTTTTATTTGCATGTAGTTGACACAGAATGTTACATTAATTTCAGGTGTACAGCATAGTGATTCAACAAGTTTATACCTCATGCTCCGCTCTCCACAAGTGTACCAGAACTGTCACATATGACGCTATTACGCTATCATTGACTATATTCCCTAGGTGGTGCCTTTTATTCCCCTGACTGGAAGCCTGTATCTCCCACTCTCCTTCACCTGTTTTTGCCTGTCCGCTCAGCCTCCTCCGCTCTGCCACCCCACTTTAGTTTCAGCTGTCCCGCCAGGACCTCCTCTGCTTGAAGAGCCCAGGGACCTGCTGTCCCACACGCTGCCTCAGCTCCAGCCCCCCTGCCAGGGCACCCCTTGCACAGAGCATCCTGGGACTCCCTGGCCTGTGCCTGCTTCAGCGTCACCCGTCCTGCCAGGGTACCTATGGTGCACAGAACAGAAGGGTCCATTCTGATGATAGCACAGCAGCTAGGTAATGTGGGCTATTGCAACAAAGATGGGAAACATCATCCCACATCCTTGGGGGTGAAACACTGTAGCACATAGAGACAAACTGACACAGTGGGGAGGTCACTGGTCCCAGCTCTCCGGAGACTGGGGTGTGAATGTGCGTGCTGAGAGGTTGGGCTCCTAGGATCGATCGGGAAAGGCTTCACTGAAAAGAAGGCATCTGAGAATTGATTATATGTCATATATTAAATTCTTGTACTTTGGCATTGCCATTAAGCCTTGTGTGATGATAGTTACAAAGTACAAGGAATGATGTCTGTATCCAGAAGCTTAGAATAATTTAAGAAGGCAAGACTTAGGTCGAGAAAGTAACTGGAGGATGTGGAAGCATATTATGAAGTGCTCATTGGGAAGGATACCCATGAATGTGTTCACGGAAGGAGAAAAGAACAGGGAAGGCGCAGGAAAAGGGGGAATCGTATGTATGAGGTAATTTTCATTATTAAAGGAATCAGTAACAAGTCCAATGTGCGTGGGCTTGATGAGTTTTCATGCAGGCCTGTGCTTGTGGGTGCCACTGATATTCCTTACAAAGGACATTCTTGTTTTAATAGAGTCAAAGTGATTTCCACATCTATTTTTCTTTATCTAGTCAACAAACTTTCATAAAACACTATTTTCGTGTCAGACGTTAAACCAGGCAATGGGGAAGAGGCAGTAAATTAGACGTGGTCTGATTTAGTTTGGAAGATAGATGCGTTTACACTAATTACAGCAGAGCTGCGCTGTCCGATGGAATAGCCACGAGCTACTGAGGCTGCGCGAGGCTGCTGAGCACAGGAAATGTAGCTAGGATGACCGTGGGATGGATTTTTAAATGTTAATTTCACTCTGATGTGAAATAAAAAGGTAATGTAATGTTCAGCATGGGGCATATAGTCAGAAACATTCTATTAACTTTGTGAGGTGACAAGTGGTAGGTGATTAGACTTATTGTGGTAACCGTTCTGCAGTGTGTACGAATGTCAAATCCCCATTTTATACACATGAAACTAATACACTGTATGCCAATGACAAAGAAAGACAGGTCACCAGTCTTTTTTTTTTTTTAAAGTCGATATTTGATAGTTATCAAACTTTGAGGTACACATTTGAAACAATGTAGGTATGGGAATCTGTTTTTTTCATCTTTAAATTTTATGACAGGTAAATACAGATCAGTTATTTTTGATGACAACTTTAGTACCTAATTTTAAATATGCTATAAATGTGAAATGCATATTGGATTTTTGAAGAATTAATATGAAAAATTGTAGACTCTCTTCTTATTTTTTTTTGTGTGGATGACATGTTAAAATCATATGGGTCAGTGATATGGATCTCTCTGGTTAAATAAAATATTTAATTCACTGATTTCTCTTTCCCTTTTTAGTGAGGCTCCTAGAACATTTAACATGCCACACACATTGTGCATATTTCTATTTGCCAGCCCTGCTGTAGGGGGCAGCCTGTGTTGGAAGAGTGGTGTGCACCGAAAGCTACTGGGGCAAAGTGAGTGGAGTTATTTAATCAAGAACGGAGAGCTGGGGAATCTTCATCAAGGGTTGACATCTGAGTTTGCTCGGGAGCAATCAGGAGGAGTTTTTGGTTGGATGCTGTTCGAATAGTTTGCGTAGGAGATGATAAGAGCTCAAATTAAGGCGCTGGAGAGGTGGAGGGCATGGATGTGATTAGAGGTTTGGAAGTAGAACAAGCAAGGATTATTGATTGATACGATGTGGAAATGAGAGAGCGTCTGTGAGGTTAAGACAAGATTTTAACACACGATCTATATACACACTGCCTTGAAGACAACACATCGTGATCTAATTGTTCACAAGACCGGACTCTGTTGTCTCAGCATATATGCAGCATTTTGGTATCATGAATAAAGAAAAGACTTCACCATTTAAAAAAAAAATACTTATTTACTTGATAGGGAGAAGGACAGTGAGAGAAGGAACACAAGCAGGGGGAGTGGGAGAGGGAGAAGCAGGCTTCCCACTGAGCAGGCAGCCCAGTGCAGGGATCGATCCCAGGACCCTGGGATCACGACCCGAGCCGAAGGCAGAGACTTTAACCCACTGAGCCACCCAGGCGCCCCTGGATCCTCTCATTCTTCAGGTCTCAGGTGGACTGTGTCTCCCCAGAGTCTATCCCTGACCACCCTATCTAAAGTAATTCCTGTCTCACAACCTCCACACTGTCACTGTGCATCCTCTCACCTTGCCTTGTTTATTATCAGATGCTCCCACGAGGACACAAGCCGCAAGCGCGTATAGACTTACTCTTTTTATTGATGGAAAGGGCCTGGAGTTAAGTGGGTGTCCAATAAACATTTATTGAATGAATCAAGCCTGAGAGGATAAGTTTATTAGTTTGAATAACCTGGAGGTCCATTTCATCAAATCAGTTTGGTTAGACATATGTTGAGCAATTTTTATATACACCTTTTCAATTTATATATGGGAATATACAAGTCCTTACTTCCTAGACTCATGGTAATGTGATGGCCAAGGCCAACTTGGGACTCCTCGCTTGACCGAACAGAACTGTTCCATGTTCCATGTGCCTTCTTTTTTTCCTCACCATAACCTTGTGGAGAGTTGAGAGAACCCTGGTTCACCTGGGAACTTCACCCACTTCTCAACTGCTCTTTGGAAATTTTGTTACGATTTCTTCCATGAAAGATCCCATTCAGGAGCAATTCATGTGGGAACTGATACTGCCAACCATCTGCCGTGAGGAGTATGGACTGTTGACTAGAGCCAAACTGGGGCGGGAAAGGAAAACAAGCCTGGAAGAGAGAGGTACAAAGAGGAAAATTTCCATTTTGGTAGCTGTCTATCAAGCAGAATCCTTTAGCCCCTCATTCAAACATGTTGGTACTCCTAAGAATCATCAAACATTAAACGTGTCTTAAAGTCCAATTCCCCCGTTTTCTTTATATTTTCATTTATTCCAAGTGCAGTGCAATCCACAGAAGGGTTTAAGCAGAGGGAGGGACATGTTCTGACTTAGGTTTGAGGGGAGGTGGGTGGAAAGGGCGGGGTGGGCTGTATTATCCTGGGGAGGGGTAGGCATGGAGGGAGGAGGATGCAGGGCCGGGCTGTGAAGGGCCTGTTCATGGTTTTCTCTCTGGAAGTGTATGTAATCTCGTTATCCCCAGTTTTCTGAAAATGTAGGCTGTTTATTGACACAGGTCTATTTTCATGCTTTGATACTAGGCACTCAGGAGGCTTTTAGTTTAGAAAACTACATCCAGGAGGCGCCTGGGTGGCTCAAGTGGGGTAAAGCCTCTGCCTTCAGCTCAGGTCATGATCCCAGGGTCCTGGGATCGAGCCCCACATCCGGCTCTCTGCTCAGCAGGGAGCCTGCCCCCCACTGCCCCCCCCCCCCCCCCCCCCCCCCCGCCTCTCTGCCTACTTTTGATCTCTGTCTGTCAAATAAATAAATAAAATCTTTAAAAAAAAAAAAAAGAGAAAAGAAAACTACATGCATAGTTCTGAGAAATTGTCTTGAGTAAATTTTTCGATTATTCTCTTCCTTCAATTCTCTTCCTCTTTTCTTTCTTCCTAGAATGTCCACATTTCAGATGTTGAACTTGTTAGATTGCTCCTCTAGTGCACTCCCTCTTTTCCTATCTTATATTCCCTTCTCTCCCGTTTTCCTCTTTTGGTTCTCTTTTCTGAGATCCTTTTCAACTTTATCATCCACATCTTTTATCGCATTATTATCGATATATCGGTATATTATCAGTATATTATATATATCAGTATATTATCTTCTTTTTGCATTTTATACTATTTTTAAATCCATAAAACAGTAAAACCATTTCCATGAACAACAAAACAAAAGACAAACACCAAGAAAGCACATCCTGTTCTGTCAGGAGTTGCATCGAGACAAGACCATCAGAACCGTGAAGGTGAAGGCGGTGTGTGTTACCCTCGATCATGTTGAGAAAAGTGCTTCTTGAGGGGAAGCACTTGCGCTTACCATGTTGAATGAACGAGCAACAGGAAGTGGGGTGAGATGTCAAGAGGGTCATGGATATTCCTGTCGTGTGTAGAAAGTGCCAGGCATGAACATGTGGTGGCTAGGATCCCTGTTCTAGGATCCTTGATCTGAAGGAGGGGAGAGAAGATAGCCCAGGGTGATGGATCTCTGGATGCTGGCCTTAAACATGTACAAGGCATTCATTCGTGTGTTACCCCCTAAAGGGGCTCCTTTTCCCCATTCTGATGTTCTTGTTCCTGTTT